AGCCCAAGGGGGGACAAGGGGTATGTTTCTGAGGGACAATGTGGGACACTGCTTGGCGCGCCGGTGCCCCCACCCCACGGGCAGACTCTGATAGTGGTTTACCCATATCTAGAATTGTTACTATTGCCTTACTGTTTGTACATGAATAATTGTTCAAAAAAAAAAAGCACATACCTTAGCACATACATTAATAATGCCCTATTCCCTAAACATGTGTAATTGCTGATAGGCTATATGCTGATGCTCATGATAGGCCAACCAATGTGTATTTGTTTTCTAAATAAAGATAAATATTTTGAACATTCAATGATGAATTGACAGCACTTCCACTTACGATTTACTTTAGCTATTTAAATTTTATTTATTTTTTATTACAATTAATTCACTTTAAATCAATAAAAGCATAAAATTATAGGATTAACAGGAATTATAGTTGCTCAACACCACAGGAACAGTTTAAAAAAAGTCGAAAAAAAGTCTAAACTCACAACTCCAGAGGTTCACGGAACGAGAAGCTGCGCTGTCATGACAACAAAGAAAAAGTTGACATCAACCTAGTCAGCAGGTCACGTGGGAGTGGCAACCAGTCTTGATGAAGTTCACTTTCTACAAAATGAACTAGTTAAGTTCAAGTTTGCACAGAAATGTAAGATTTTTCCCATCTTCACCGACCTCGTTATAAAATCCGTTTAAATGATCATATGACGCCTTTGTCGACGGCGGCCGCGGTGCGACACTGGTGGCTTGTGTTGCCAGATTGGGTGTTTTTTCGCTACATATTGAGCCCTGTTTACGGTGAGTTTTAGCAGGGTGTTCGCCTGGAAGGCTCTATAGAAATCTGGCACCCCATTGAACGAAGTTAAACTGAGAGAGCGTGCGTTCAGAGTAGAGGCTGACATTTTTTCGGGAATCCCACGGGTCCCGGGATTCCCGTGGGATTCCCGCAGGATGGGAGTCATCTTTGCTATTAATCACGGGATTTGGACGGTACAGGATAAATGGTTAACGGGAGCAGACGGGAGCGGGAATCAACCAATAGCAAAGACGACAAAAAAAAAAGCAAAAAGTAAATGCACCATTTTGTAGTTTCCTTTTAATACGCCTAAAATGTAGCGAAATTAAAAAATAACTACACGACCCAGCCGTTCCAGAAGCCATCAGTGCTTTTTGTCACGGCTTACCGCCGGAATTCAAAGAGCAGTGATGGAGGGAGCTAATAGCCGCGGAGAAGTCGATGTGGCAAAAAAAAATATTTACAGCGCAAAATCAGAAGTAATGACATGTCTATTAAGTTCACAGAGCTGGTCGGAAAGTCTGAAAAATTAAGTATGTGAGAGTAGAATGTGACGGTGATAGCACGATGTACGCTGCTTGTAAGACATGCATAAAAGGGGGTCGCACACCGGACGAGAAGCGCCGCGCCGTGTCTAGGACAACTCCAGGTAACGTATCGCACACTGGACGCGCACTTTCTCATCAGTGTATGGCCATCAATATTGTTATGTTTAATGACATGAAATTAAGATAATGTCTGTTCTATGTTAGATTGTACTGTACAATTAAATACAATCATTACTGAGTCTGCAGTCTGAAAACTTTACCTCAGAGCATCTGTTTACTGAATGAATTGAGAATCTCACCTGAAAAATCCAATAACATCAGCAATTGTCATTCAAGCAGCTGATTTCTGTAAATGAATGCAAAACTAAATGTAGGCCTATATTACTGCATAGGGTGAAGTCAGGATACATTAGCACCGATTTGAGACAAAAATACTTTAAATTTTATATAAAACTATGTAAATGGCGCTCTGTGGCACAGCAGGGTTTTGAACACGGTCCTGAGCCGTCGCTGGGCGCCGCGGACAGACACAGAATGTGTTCGAATTTTAAAGATTCTGCGCGGCGCTGAGCTTCTCGTCCGGTGTGCGACCCCCCTTTAGTCAAGTAGCAAGTGATTCAGGGATGAGCGGTCTGAAGAGGCACGCAAATTCAGGAAAGAATAAGCCATGTTGCAGCCTACACAGCAACATATAACTAAAATTTGTCTCATTATGCAAGAGCATAATTGATGAAAATCGTTTAAAATGTAATTAAAAAAACTATAAATGTAAACTGTAAATGTATTGTTTACTCAACAATAAATGAGTAAAATGCAGCTTTATGTGCTGTTTGGGTTTATTAAATTGTAGACATGGTGTGATGTACTGTTTTTCTTTTATTTACGGTCTTCCATTTTCTAGAGAAAATCTAGAAACTGGGGCTCAGCAGCTGGTCTAAAACAGGATGGATTGGAGAGGATGCAGAATTGCAGATTAAATCAAATTCTATGTATTAACTAAACATTAATTGAAGAAAAAATATATATGGGAGCGGTACAGGAGTGGGAGTCAGTTTAAACAGGAGTGGGATGGGAGTGGGAGTCAATTTACCAGGAGCGGGATGGGATGGGATTATTTTTTAAACTTTGGTCTGGGAGTGGGACGGGACAAGATTTCTTTCTATGGGAGTGGGACGGGACAGGAGTGAAAATCCACTCCCGTGTCATCCTCTAGTTCAGAGACACCAGAATGAACGAGTTCACACGTTCATCAGGACAGGCAGTTAAACAATACGTTCAGTTCACCCAAAATATGAACAAGTTCATGAACGTGAACGTGTTCAGGCACAACGTTTGGCTGCCTGCGTCTCGAGGATAAAGAGTGACCGACTTTTTTTTGAGCAAGCATTGATTATGCGTGACGCGGTCTCAATTTGCGGGACGCATTAATTGGGCTTCAAACGCTGTGCGCGCACGCGCTACGCGGGACGGGTGGTCACCCTATTCTACCCACCTTTGGTTATTTTACGTTATTCAAAATATAACTACCCAGCAACATCAATGTTATTTTATAGTTGCGAAATAATAACCTAAAAACAACCTTTATGTAAAGTGCTGTATAAATTATTTTAAGTTATTTAAATCTGCAGTCCGTAGTTTTTCCTCTTTGTCGCCATCTCTGTTCGAAATCTGCAATTGCAGTCATTCGCGGAATTATCAACTTTACGTGCGTTGTGCTTCGGCACGGCACAGCGAGGATGAACACAATGTTTGAGGAGAGTGTCCGGCTGTCAGTCGCCGCCGGACACTTTTTTTCTGGTTCTGGAAAAAATCATTGCAGTGAATCGCGCTAATTAAATCGCTTATCATATCATATAAAACCGTGCTAATTATACTTTGTTCTCAAATTGTTAATGTTAACAACGTCGGGACTACGTGACTACATGTAATGTCCGTACGATATGTATTGTTTTCGCATGGGCCGGTTGCAGTCTCTTTTTTTCTGTAAAAAGTCTTTTGCATTTTACAGCGGGTGAATCTCAAGTTGTCACTGGTGATTGTCATTTCAACTTTTCTGGATCCGCCATCAACTTAATAAGTTTAAATTTGATCAAATTCTGTGAGAAAAGGCTATAAATCTCCACTTCCAACATCCTCACACGCACATGTCGCTGCTCAAAACACAGTGGGTGGCGGGCGGGGTGATTTTATGAATGAAAGTTTTCAAAAAACGATGTTGTTACGAATCATCATGCTTTTTAAAGTGGGTATACAGAGATCTTTGACATTTCCTAGTGGGCATACGTAAATCCTTGACATTTTCTAGTGGGTATACGGTGTATACCTGTGCATCACGTAGACTACACCACTGGACATAATGACGCAAAGACATGCTTGAAGTTCCCGCTGAAATCCACCAGTACCAAAGGAGTTAAAAACATTATTACAAGCTTGCTGCTTTGAATCAAGCTGAGAAAAAGCAGAGAGTTTTGAACACTGGCTGCTTATGTATTTTCTCAAAAATGTAGTTAATAATTTTTAAATTGAAAATAATAATTTTCAATTTTATAACTGAACGCTGCGTTACCATAGAAACGGTACTTATTTTATGAGGCTCCTCCCCTTTTGGACATCCTTATATTTCATAATTTATGATCAAAACCTTTTCTAATCTTGACAAAACACATATTGTCAGAAAGGTCTGAGTCTCAAGGTTCCGAATTTTGTGACAAAATTGATATTTGGGCAGAAACGTATTAATTTGTTAAGGCAGAATGTACACAACTAAATTCAATGGAATTCAATGGCACCCGGTGGCTATTTTTGGTACTACGCCTAAACAAAATCTCATGGGAACTTCAAATTTGTGTGATATCAACTTCAAATTCGGAACATAACTTGGTTAGATTTATGGCTTTGATTTTATAGTAATTTTAGAGTAAAAATATTTTGTAAAATATATATTTTATATAAAATAAAAAATATATAGTACAGTATATTTGATTTACTGTGAATTAAAACTTCCATAACTTTTTCATACTTTCATTTTTTGAAGTGTTTTCACTTCAGCAATAATCTGTGTGAATAGAGCATTTAACCCCCATTCTCAAAGGGGGGGGGGGGGTGTAACAGTTAAGGGGTTAAAAATAGTTTATTGTTGCAAAAAAAAAAAAAATCCTAAACAGAATGTTCCTAGAATGTTATTTGGTTCTCAAAAAAGAACCAAAAGAGAACCAAATACTCAAGAGTGTGTGTGTATGTGTGTGGGTTATTAAGACACAAATGTTTGTAATGACAAGGGTAATACAACATAAGCATGGTTAAAAAGGACACTTCATGTGTCCTCGTAAACCAAAGGCTTAAAAAACATACTAAACTGTTTTTTTGAAGTTAAAAAAAAGTTTTCTGTGTTGGCTAGGTTTATGGGTTGGGTTTGTGTAAAGGGGGAGAGAATATATGATAGCCCCCGCAAGTGTGTGTGTGTGTGTGTCAGAGTCCATATTATGAAAAAATTGAAAACCTCCTCTTTTTTTATTTAAAAGAATTATATTGCTAGTGTCGAGCACAATGCTTAACCCCTTGATTTCATGCAAGCTAAAGTACATTTCTTCAATGAAGAAATTAAATTGAACATTAAATGAGTCAGGAAATTAACTTTCATCCATTTTATTTCACATATTTCAAAATGTGCAATCATTACATTACACAAAACATTTAAGATTTCATAGATAGAGAAAATATTACTAAATCCCATTCAACCATAAGCTAGCCTACCCCGTGCCCAAATATTTTGTTTCAAACACCATAAAACAGCTCATGAACATTCACAGACTGAGTGATTTCAACACAGTAACATCTTTCCATTATGTTCTCAATAATTCACCAAACAGCTGGGCAAAAAAAGAGTTTATGGTATTTAATGTACTAATGTTTCAGAAAGGATCATACGTGATCAATTTAAAATAATACACATATCTTCATAAATTGTGGCATTTCACAACACACTGGTTTTCTGTACTACTTTAATCTTACTTAACTGTAACAAAAAAATCAAACTTCAAAACTGATTATAAAAAATTACCTTAGATGAAATGAGTCTGTTGGAACTAATTCCAGCTTTTGCTTTTTCTGAACATCACATTTACTTTTCTCATTCAGACGACTTTGAGCAACCTTTTTTCTTATGAAACGCTAGATTAGGTGAGTGGGCGAAAGTCTTCCCACATGAAGAGCACTGGTACGGCTTCTCTCCAGTATGAACCCTCTCATGAGATTTCAAGTATGATGAGGTTGAGAAGCTCTTTCCACAGTGTGAACACTTGTATAGTTTCTCTCCAGTATGAACTCTCTGGTGTAATTTTAAAGCACTGGATGTAGTGAAGATCTTCCCACAGTCAAAGCACCTAAAAGGGCTCACACCAGTATGCACACGCTCATGCTCTTTTAACTTTTGCATTTGTGTAAAACCCTTTCCACATAAAGAGCAAAAGTGAGGCTTCACAGCAGCATGAACTTTAAGGTGTCTGTGTAAGTATGTTGCCAAAGCAAATGTTTTATCACACTGATCACAGCTGTATGACCTCACTCCAGTGTGAGAGAGCAGATGATCTCTGAGAGCGTTTTTGTAACCAAAACTCTTTCCACACTGAGAGCATGTGAACGGTTTTTCTCCACTGTGAATTTTCATGTGCGAATTTAAGCATCCTTTATCAATGAAACTATTTCCACACTGAGTGCATGTGAATGGTTTTTCTCCCGTGTGGATTCTCATGTGTCTCTTAAGGTCTGCTTCATGTATGTAAGTCTTTCCACACTGAGTGCATGTGAACGGTCTTTCTCCCGTGTGAACTCTCATGTGTACATCCAACTTTCCTTTTTCTGTGAAAACCTTTCCACACTGAGCGCATGTGAGCAGATTCTCTCCCGTGTGCATTCTCATGTGTCGCGTAAGGTCTGGTTTACGTGTGTAACACTTTCCACACTCAGTGCAGGCAAAAGATCCTTTGACTCCAGATTTCCCAGCTTTTTTGTGTGTGGATTTCCTTTTAGACTGTGAAATGACTGTGTTTCCATCTGCAATGCGCAAAAAAATGTTTTGTTTTGTTTTAAATATATGTTGTTGGTCTTCATTCACTTCAATATTGAATATTCTTTTAAAAAGGGCAAATATAAAACAAGAAGGAATGTAAGTGAATCTAGTTTCTGGATGCATTTTTACATAACTTTTTATCTGAATGTTTCTTGTCTGTGATTAAAGAAAATGAGGGAAAACACCAACCTTCCTCTGTTTCTTCATCTCTCCTTCTGCAGGGTTCTTCCTCAAACTCCATCTTTACAACAATAAGTCCGTAGTTTCTCTTGGAGTAATTCCTCCTGCTTGTTTCTCCTCCTGTGGGAAGATTTCCCAGCATTTAAACTCTCATGAACGGCTGTGGGAGCTTCACTGACTGAACGTGTGAATTGTGGTCGTTGCTGGTCATTTAGCAGATGCTCACCACACTTACAATCTGTGAGCCTATTGTTTGCACAATTCAGCTCGCGGCCTGACGTTCCCCAAAACCCCTCCTCTCCCTTCTCCCACATTAATGTTAAGAACAAATGCTTCTTTCAATTCTTCAATTACCACAGCCGTTCAGAGAGAAGCTGAAAGAACATTGATGAGGGTTGATTGCTGTAATCCGACATCGAGTAAATGTGTGAACGTGTGCAAACCCATTCGGTAAAAAAAAAAAATCTATATTTTCAAATATATTTCTAAATTGGTAAAACAACCTCTTAGAAGGAAAGAAGTAGTCCTCTCTCTTTCACCCACATGTGGTTTCTGCCCTTCACCCATCTAGAGACTAATGGCCCTAAGGTCCTGTGACTGCCATAAAAATTCCTCAGGACGTCTGCATCAGTGGGTGAAACAAAGAGATCACAATGATCCATCCAAATCCATTCTATGTTTGGAAACCTTAAAACTGATGCAAACTACAAACAGCCATTTCATACTTATTCAGAGAAATAAGTATTCACTATTTGTGACGCAACATCGTACACAAATCCAGCTGTTAATGTGCAAATTAAAAAAACCAAGACAGTTCAATCTATTCCCATCTTGTTTGGACTCTATTTGTTTAGAATATCATCAAAGGTATATCGTCTTGTGGTGGTTAGGAAAGTAAGACATGAATTGGTAAAACTTCAGACCATGGGCGTCAGTTTGGTGTGAAATGTGCTGGGAACAGAGACGTATTCGGAAGGGCATTTTCAAAAGTGCTGGGTACAATGACGCATTCATTCGTTTTTTTTCCTCTTTCGATTAGGTCATGTTTTGAAAGACGATGTCCGGTAGCTTCCTGATGTACATAGATAAAAATGAGCACAATGTCCGAGTATAGTGAGTATATGGAGTATATACGCCCTTTATAGCATAAGTACAGTGATGGTCCAGTGGTAAAATTTTTGCCTAGCGTGTCGGGACTCGGGAGGTTCGAGGTTCTAGTCCGCACTCGTATATAGTTTTTTTTCCTCCCTCATCAAAACCAATAATGTTTATCAGTGGTTGAATTGATATAATTATCAGTGGTTGTATATGTTTTGATGAGGGAAAAAATATATACGAGAGCGGATTAGAACCCATGAGAAACAGGGTGTGCATTTTGTGTGCCTTTTGATTTGTGATTTCACCGGAACGAATCTCCGCAACGGATTGAAGCGAGAGAAGACAAAACATTTCAGGGCTAGATCGCATGTTATTTAACAAACAAATGAAACGAATGCCGTTAACTGGAGATGTTTTATTTGTATTGGTACATCTGTGCCGCGAGATGTTTCAAAAGTGGTGGGGACAAAATCGACCCTGGCAAAAAGTGGTGGCGACCCTGGCAAAAAGTGCCCCCCCCCCCCCGTAAATGACGCCTATGCTTCAGACACTTTAAAGACTTCTGTGTGCTTTATGAAAATGAGTTCACAGGGGAATGAAGGGTAGGAGACAGATCTGCCTGACTCTGATCTTCTTTGATGAGTCTAGTTTTTAGCTTTGCCCAAAACCTGTTCCTCTAACAGTTAGACAGAGACCTGGAGAGGCCTGAAACCCACAGTCTCTCGCACACATTCTGCAATTTGGAGGAGGATTGGTGTTGATCATAGACATATACACTAGACGTCACCTTGGGGTTCTAAGCATGCGTCAAAACCACCGCCATCTTGGAACAGGGGTCTTGTCATAGGAAGTAGCTAGGTAAGGCTGCTATCTCTGCCTTTACTTCGAATTCAATGATGGTGGCGGACTTTTGTGCAGCGTATGATGTTCACAGATGAAATCTGAACTAGGAAGAATGTTTTTTTTATTTCATTTAATTTTTTTTTTCTGGAATCAATGCATGTCTGACCGTTAGAACAAACCAAAAAAATGAGAAAAATCACATTCATGATGATTTATGGTGATTTTATTTCCGTTAGACCTGTCTACATTGACACTGATGCATTAAAGTGGGGGCTCCCCTGTTTCAAGATGGCGGCTCTATTGACGCATTCGTTCCAATGAACTGCCGTAGCCAAGGTGAGGTCTAGTGTATGTCTATGGGTGTTGATCTAGAGGTTCAAGTCACGTAAAAGATTATCCTAAGTATTACTAAAGTAATTCTAAATTCTGAATTTATAACACACAATTGCGACTTTATATCTCCCAATTTGCGTATTATAAAGTCAGAATTTCAAGTAGCCTCGCAATTGCTAGTTTATATCTCATAATTCTGACTTAATAACACACAATTGCGACTTTATATCACACAACTCTGACTTGATAACACGCATTTGCGACTTCGACTTTATATAAATTCTGAGATAAAAAGTCTGAATAGTGAGATTAAAAGTCGCAATTACCTTAAGCTATATTTCTTGATGCTGTTATTATTTTAGCATTTTCCTTGAATGTTTACTGGTATTTTAAGATGTTTACAGTTGTTCCTTTAAAATTACAGAGACAATTAGACTACTTTGACATTTTTTGCTTCCACTCAACAGCAAATATAAATAAAATAAAATTGCTTTATTTTAAAATGTTCTAAATAAGTATTTAAAAAAATACTTGCGGTGCGCATGCTATTAATCTATCGAATGTAGGTTTGAAATCATGTGATTTAAAATGTTGTAAAATAACTTTGCATGTAGCCTATGTAGAGTGAATCTCGGATAAGCATCCCATTTATGTAAATAATTACTTATTCATCAATAATTACTTATAATTATTTAACAAGACGAATGCATGCGAATTATCAGCATGACATCTGCGTAAACATACACGCCACTTTCGAGTCAAGTGGCGTGTTATCTCTACGCATTTTGAGCTATTCGCGTGTATCCACGTGTATGCCTACGCCATTAACGTCCGAGTGATTCCGCGTGTCTGTACACGGCGTCAAATGTCCGCGCGAAATAAAGCAAAATGTAGATCTACATCTGGGGAGCGATCTCTTTTTTTTTCCTAGGATGGTAAGGGAACAGTCATAAATGCCATTAACCCCAGTGACGGTTAGGTTTAGGGACGGGGTTGAGGTGAGTCATATATTTATATATACAGTAATAATTTTAAGTCAACGGCGTTCATAAACACGCTGAAAAACGATTATGCGTCATGATAGCACGCCAAAAATGGAAATACGAATTGGCGTGTCATACACACGCTACTTCATGAGATCAGTCTGGAATTATAATCCAGAGATCGGCACTGCGCATGCTTATATTACGTCACTAAAACACACCTCCATCCACTACGTCTTGGACCATCCAGCTACATCATCGTGCTACAGGCTGCAGCGAGGGGTGTCTCCATGATGGATCCATGTTCTCATACGCCAAATTCTGACTCTACCATCTGAATATCTCAACAGAAATCGAGACTCATCAGACCAGGCAACATTTTTCCAGTCTTCAACTGTCCAATTTTGGTGAGCTCTTGCAAATTGTAGCCTCTTTTTCCTATTTGTAGTGGAGATGAGTGGTACCCGGTGGGGTCTTCTGCTGTTGTAGCCCATCCGCCTCAAGATTGTGTGTGTTGTGGCTTCACAAATGCTTTGCTGCATACCTCGGTTGTAACGAGTGGTTATTTCAGTCAAAGTTGCTCTTCTATCAGCTTGAATCAGTCGGCCCATTCTCCTCTGACCTCTAGCATCAACAAGGCATTTTTGCCCACAGGACTGCCGCATACTGGATGTTTTTCCCTTTTCACACCATTCTTTGTAAACCCTAGAAATGGTTGTGCGTGAAAATCCCAGTAACTGAGATCAGATTATGAAATACTCAGACCGGCCCGTCTGGCACCAACAACCATGCCACACTCAAAATTGCTTAAATCACCTTTCTTTCCCATTCTGACATTCATTTTGGAGTTCAGGAGATTGTCTTGACCAGGACTACACCCCTAAATGCACTGAAGCAACTGCCATGTGATTGGTTGATTAGATAATCGCATTAATGAGAAATTGAACAGGTTTTCCTAATAATCCTTTAGGTGAGTGTATAGCCGTTTCTCATTATACGTAATTGTCTGTACTTGTGTTCTTGTGGACTTATGAAATGTCATCAGTCGCTGCTGAAGTATTGTTCCAATTCAAAGTTCGCATCTAGCCAAGTCCACTTCAAATCCCCGGATGTGTTCTTGATCCGCCCTGTTTACCGAGGGTTTGCCGCCGGCTCTATCTCTCTAGTCTAGTGGGTAAACCTTGACGTATAATTCGTCTTGTGCAAGTCTATCTTTGGTCTCATTAAACTATAGTTTGTTCCATGGCGCAAAAAAAAAAAAAAGTTTGAGGTTTCATGGCTATTTAACTTCAACAACTTTTTTTATATTATCTTCACTATATGAACAATAAAATAAAATGACATAACCCTGTCTCTGTTTGATAAATGTCAATAAAAATCAATGTTTCATATTTTTAAAATGAAAAGAAAAATATCATGTTCATTTTGTTATAAATATATGCAATGAAGAGAATCGCGTTGCCTGAACCACATGGCCATTAGGCTAATAGGCTATGTTGTTTTTTGTTAATGAAAAGAGTCAGAGGGGTGTTTTATAACATATTTCGTTTTATTGTTGACGAAAAGATGCAGAGTTGTAGCAAATTTCGTTTTATTGTTGCCTAAAAAATAGAGCAGAGCGTGCTGAGTGACACGATCAAGTACGCTCTGTTCCATTTGCAGAAGAACCGGACTTGCGTCCTCGCATCCTCGGGAGTTCGTTCTCCGGAGTCGAACTTGCAAGTCTGAACTACCAAGGACGCAGTGATTCTCTCTCCCCCACGCTTGACTGGAGTGGTGTCTGTGTGTGTGAGACAGAGTTGATATCATCGGCAATAAATTACTTCAGACCTCTCTTAATCCTGAAAACCTCTAATTCAGAGG